GGAAGCCAATCCTTGAGGCGATGGAAACATTCTCTAATTCCATCACCAAAAAGAGAGTGTGTCGGGATAAATTAAGCTGTTGATCTAGTGGAATATCCATATTAAAGCCCTTCTTAACTCAGTTTCAGCTTTTAGAAAGTTAATTGAAAGGTTAGGATTAGGATTGGGGTTAGAAAGTTTAGGGGTTTGCAACGTTTTGCTCCAGATGAGTAACAAAACATCAAAGGATTACCGATAATTTTTTGTAGGATATGGTACACAGTTATTAACCAATAATATTAATGAAACATATCTATCTTAAACGGATTATTTGTTCCTTGCCGCTACTATACACATGCTGTATTTATTTTGAATACTGTAAAGGTCATGATGAATCCTCCATGAACATATAAAGTTGGTTACACACAGGAATTGGAAATTGTAAGCCTATATGCATTGAGGACTTGTAATCTACTGTGACTCTCTGTATCAAAACAGTACACAAGGGCAATAGAATGTCTAGAATTTTCCTTTGATACAGCTCCTTTAATGGAATAAAATCTATCAAGGTGCTTCACAGAAGCATTATAAAACAAAACATGAGCTACATAAGGATCTACCAGGTAAATAACCAAAAGCTCGGTCAATGAGGTAAATATTAAGGAGCATTGTAAGAAAGAAAAGCTATGAAGAAAGGTGGAATGGTTTAAGGTGGAAATTTCAGAGCCTGCAACCAAGGCAGCTGAAGGTGTGCCTGCCAATGGTGTGGAAATAATGGTGAGGGATACTTAAGAGACCAGAATTTGACAAGTGGAGATATCAAAGGGTTTTGGGGCTGGAAAAGATTACAAAGTTAAAGAGGACTGAGGCCATTGAAAAATTTGAAAATAAGTTTAGAATTTAAAAAAATAATGAGCCAGAAGCCAATATAGGTTACTGAGCACAGGGGTGAGGGAGAATTAAACTTTGTACAAGTTAGGCTATGGGCAGCAGAATTTTTGAAACTCTAAGCTTCTGGTGATCAATGTGGGAAGCGGGTCAGCAGTGTGTACATAATATTAAAATAATCAAGTGTAGAGAGGTGACAAGGGCACAGTTGAGGATATCAGCAGCTGAGCTTGGGCAGGGACAGTGTCAGAAGACAAGACATTAAAGAGGTGGAGGTAGGCAATAGGAGAGATGGCATAAGATGCTGATTTTGGAGTCAGATCCCACATGGTAGTTGTAAGCCATCTTGTTCAGCCTCAGTTAGTTGCCCAGGAGGGGGATAAAGTTGCTGCTGGGAAATGGGGAAGAGAGAAGACAATGGCTTCAGTCTTTCATCTACTGAATGGGAAGAAATGTCAGCCCATATATGTTGGATAAGCAGTGCTGCAGTGGAGGGGTCAAGAGCGACATGATGGTGAAGTAGAACTGGGTATTGTTAACATACCTGTGGAAACTGACAAGCACGTCAGTTTAATAAAGTCTTGTTCTTACATTAAAAATTAAATAACTTGAGCAAAGAGGCCACTATTCAGAGAACAAATATATTTTCATATCAAATTCAAATCATATGTAAAATAAAATCAAAATAAGCTTTACTGGATCTGAATGATCAATCATATAAAGCAAACTGTCACCACTGAAATAGTAGAAACTGCAGATGCTGGAGAATCCGAGATAACAAGATGTAGCATTTTCTGAAGAAGGGTCTAGGCCCGAAACGTCAGCGTTCCTGCTCCTCTGATGCTGCTTGGCCTGCTGTGTTCATCCAGCTCTACACCTTGTTATCTCTGTTACCACTGAAAATGTTGTCCACTGTATAATCATAAGTTAAAAGTACTTACGATTCCATGCAATCATAGCATAAATTCATTGCCTTACAATTGACATCAATTCTCAAAGAGCTGAAATGGTTGTATTCACGTTGAAAAATAAATGCGGCAATAAACACAAAGGACTTGAAATGATAGAAGCATCTTTGATGCCCTCATGATGTTTCGAAGCACTTCACAGCTGATGAAGTACTTTTGAAGTGTAGTCACTGTTGCAACGTGTTGCAGTCAATTTTGTTTACAGCACGGTCCCATAACGTGCAATGAGATAGCTGACCAGGTAATTTTCTATCAGTCCCCATTTTGAGTAACCCAATCCCTCAGTTCCTATGGGTCACCACCTCACAGGTCTCTCCCCCACCTCCATTTGTATCTCTTTTCTCCCCCTCTCCACTTCGTTCTCAGATATTACTAAGGGGTCACAACAATTTTTAATCCTCAAAATAGGGTCACAGTAGCAGAGCGTGTTTGGGAAGCACTGTCTTTAGCATAAAGATAGACCTGGTTAGATATATATTATCCCAAAATAGCGACTCACAACTAAGAACTTCCAAGTAAGAAGAAAAGAATGACCCATTAGCAAACTGATTCAAAATGTAGCCATCAGTCTCAGTAAGTTCCCACCAAGTAAGTTAAGTGCCTATAACCCTCAACATGCTCCGGAGATACAGAAGAAACATTTTATTTAGATTTGGTAGTTTTATTGCATTAGGCATGAACACAAAGCATTTTAATAAGTGCCGTGCAAAATATATAGAAATAAGAGGACAGGTTTCCAGTTTTAGCAATGAAATTCTCAGATGATAAAATACGTGAAAGTGCTGTAAAAGAGAGAGCACAAACAGCAAATGTATAAAGACCTTATCAACATAACCTGTTGTGACAATGCAGGTTTACAGACTAGATAAGCAAGCAAGGAGTGATAAAAGTGCAAATCAAAGCTCAGTCCACAAGGCCATTGAGTCATACAGCACGGAAACTAATCCCACCTGACTGTGCTTGGCCCCTATCCCTCCAAACCTTTCCTATTCACGTAGGTATCCAAAATGGCTTTTAAACATTGCAACTGCACCCACATTCACCACTTCCTCTGGAAGTCCATTCCACACACGAACGACTGTCAGTGCAAAAATATTGCCCGTCATGTCTAGATGCTGCAGAATTGAGAGTTGCACATTTGATGAATAATGGATTTACTGAATATGTCCTGTCCTGCCTGCAGGACAGATGTAGCAGAGGTGGTGGCACAATGGGATACAGTCGGAAGGGAGTCGCTCCGAACGAGTCCTCAACATTGACTCTGGACCCCACAAAGTCTCACAGGGCCCCAGCATACAAGTCTTCTGTCATTTGGCTCACACCACACGATATCAAGAAATGATTGGTGGCACTGGATGCTGCAAAGACCATGGGCCCCGGCAACATTCCGGCAATATTACTGAAGACTTGTGCTCCAGAACTTGCCACGATCTTAGCCAAGCTCTTCCTGTACAGTTACAACACTGGTATCTACCCAGCAATGTGGAAAATTGCCCAGTTATGCCCTGTACATAAAAAGCAGAACAAATCCAACCCAACTAATTAATGCCCCATCAGTCTACTCTTAATCATCAGTAAAGTAATGGAAGGTGTCATTAATAGTGCTATCAAGCAGCACCTGCTCAGTGATACCCAGTTTGGGTTCCACCAGGGCCACTCAGACTTGTTTCAAACATAGGCAGAAGTGCCGAGGTGAGGGGAGAGTGACAACCCTCAACATCAGGTTTTTGACCGAGTGTGACATTGAGGAGCGCTAACAAAACTGGAACCAATGGGAATCATGGGGCATACTCCTGCTGGTTGGAGTCATACCTTCCACGTAGGAAGATGGTTGCGGTTGTTGGAGGTTAGTCACCTTAGCTCCATGACATCTCTGCAGGAGTTGCCAGAGTCCTAAGCTCAACTATCTTTAGCTGCTACCCTCCATCATAAAGTCAGAAGTCAGATGTTCACCAATGATTGCACAATGTTCATCACCTTTGCAACACCTCAAACACTAAAGCAGTCCATGTTCAAACGCAACAAGATCTGGACAATTTCCAGGCTTAGGCTGATAAGTGGCAAGTAATATTCACACCACACAAATGCCACCAATCACTATCTCCAAATAAGACAGAATGTAACCACTGTCGTTGACATTCAATGGCATTACCATCACTGAATCCCCTACTATCAGCATCCTGGGGGTTACCATTGACCAGAAACTCAACCGGACTCACCACAGGGGCTACAAAAGCAGGTCAGAGGCTAGGAATACTGCATCGAGTAATTCAACTCCTGACTCCTCAAAGCCTGTCCACCATCGACAAGGCATAAGTCAGGAGCGTGATAGAATACTCCCCACTTGCCCGGATGTGTGCGGCTCCAACACCACAAGCAGCTTGACACCATCCAGGACAAACTGCCCATTTTATTGGCGCTGCATCCCCACCCTCCATCACTAATGCTCAGCAGCAGCAATGTGTACTATCTACAAGATACACTGCAGGAATTCACCAAAGATCCTCAGACAGCACCTTCAAAACCTATGACCACTTCCATCTAGAAGGACAAGGTCACCAGATACACGGGAACGCAATCAATTGCAAGTTTCCCTCCAAGCCATTCACCATCTGACTTGAAAATATATTGTCATTCCTTCACTGTTGCTGGATCAAAATACTGGAATTCCCTTCCTAACGGCATTATGAGGCTACTGATAGCACATTGCCTGCAGTGGTTCAAGATGGCAGCTCATCACCTCCTTCTCAAGGGCAACTAGGGACAGGCAATAAACACTGGTCAGCCAACAATGCCCATGTTCCATGAGTGAACTGAAACAAAAATTACAACGTCTGCCTTTTTCTCCAATTCGAGCAGGTGTAAAATATGGAACATAATAAACAGGAGCAAAAGTAGGCCATTCAGTCCCTCAAACCTGCCCCAACATCCCAAAAGATCATGGCTGATCTGCTCCAGCTCTCAACTCTTCTTTTCTGCCAGTTCCTCATGGATTTTTTGAAATAGCAAGCAGTTGAGGATTATCTACCTTCTCTTTAAATACTTCCAGTGATCTGACCTCCTCAGTTCCCTAGGATATAGAATCCCAGACTGCCCTCTGGGAGCAGAAATTCCATTGCATCGCAGTTTTAATTGAGGGCCCCCTTATCCCGTAGAAGGACTTACGTTTTTGCTGTGACGTCCACATACTGTCCTGGCCGAAAATGAGCAGCATATAAGGGAGTACCTTGAATAAAATTTAAATTTAAATTAAATCCAGCCAATCACAAATGATTCAAACATCAAAGTTTTGATTACATAAAGTGATTAAAACACAGGTTACATAGATCTTGGGATCATTTACAGCGCACGTTACATTCAAATATTCTCTTGTTTCTGTCCTTAGGTTTCAGCAATCCAATATCTTTGTAGTCACGGTATAATTAAAATCAGAGGCACTGAGGCCAACTGTAGTCAACAAAATACTGCAAATCAGCCAGTTCTACACCGAGTACAATCAAACCCAACAGCTAAAAACTAATATTCTTGAGCCTTAGCAACACAATGCCAGCGTATCTGTATTGAAAAATTAACCCTAACATCTTTTATACCTAGCAGAACTAGCACCTCATTATTCAAGTTCTATTCCTTCATTAAAAAAAAGGGCAGATAAACTCACTAGGCTTGAAAGTGGGTGATAAGAGAAGTGCCACAAAAAACAAGATGCTGCAGGATTGCAAGTGTATTTTGTTTTAAAATGTATGATTACAACTTCTGTCTTTTGCTCCCATTTACTAGGTATGGGATTCACATTTGTCAGATGTTAACATGGCATATAACTGGGCAATACAAAGGCCAAGGAAACCGAGCAAGTGATTCCAGACCAATGCCTTCACATCAGGTAGTTGTCAGAAACTGCCTAAGGCTGATAATCTGTTGTAGTCTTTTACGACTTACACCAACAATCAACCTTCAACTTCACGTTGGGAGGTGACTACCTAGCTGGAACTGGCTCAGCTCATTCAATTAATCGGAGCACAAAAAAATAATAGAGCTCAGTAGTATCCAGGATGGGTAGGTAGACTGCATACACCCACCACAAATTTATGCTCAGGTAAACAGAAAGGTTGAAATTCCTCTTGCAAAAAGGGAGCTGGGGGATGACTTACAGGTCCTTCAAATCCTGAAAGATTTAGCTAGAATTGATAATGAGAGAATGTTCTTCTTCACAAGTGAAAGCAAATTACAGGCCTTACAACATGGTTGAAATGATCCTACAGGCACATTAACAGAAACCTTAGTGAGTATTTAAGGGTTATGATGGTAGATTTAGAGGAGAGAAGATGGATGTAGCAGGGTGGAATAAACACAGGCATGGTCTGGTTGTTCAGTGCTGTATATTCTATGCAATTCTCACAGCTGCTTGGAAAGAAAAAATGTAATTGGTCACAATATCCAAGCAGGATGCCTGGTTTGTACAGCTCACCCACTTAGTCTAGCACAACTGCATACAAAGATAGGAAAAGGAAACTTTCAGCCTTAATTCTCTGCCAACAGCAACCCAGTAATTTCTGAAAGCATTTGCGCAAACATTGCATATTGACAGTGTGGACCTGGTTTTAATCAGTACAGCTTTAGAATAGATTTTAGAGAGGTTGATGTTAATATTTGTATTTCACCTTCATTTCTAGTTACCTTTGCTATTATTTATTTTTTAAAAATTAAACTTTGTTTCAAAATTGATTTTACCATTAACTATAAATTCATTCCTTATTCCCAAATCAGCAAGCCTGAAGCAGGAAGTACCAAACAAAACCCAAATGACTCAAATCTGTGATTATTTATTTAAAAGGTACAACCGTTACAATTTGGCTATTTTAAGTGGATTTTGAGCTATGCTATACAAAAATCTAATCAGTAATCATGCTGATTCTACCAAAATGGTTGGAATGCTTCAAACTACTTAAACCAGAGAGGCAGCAAATGCTGATGAGAATGAATAACATTTCTTAGAAAACCAATCATTTCCCTTCCCTCTTTTCCTATCCTTCTGTATATTTATTATTGTTGCACTGCTGCCGATGGGCAGCGCTTGTTAATTGTTCTTGTAGTTTGTAACAGAGGTGATTTGGTGGTGGTAAGAAAAAAATCTTAATTTTCTTATTTTTCTTTTAACTGTACAGACCATCAGTATATTGAAGAATTCATGTCTAATGAGTCTTACTGAACAGGAGAGAACTTTTTTTAAAATTCCTATTTTATATACGTAAAACCAGGGAGATGATGACACTTCATCTTCAGATTAAGAAGTCATACTGGATTTGAAATATAAACTCTTTTTCTCTCCACAGATGCTGCCAGACCGACTGGGATTCTCCTGCATTCACAATGCTTGCCACAAAATGCTTGCTATATTCTATTCCTCTTGGAATAAACATTAAATTTGCACATCAAACTTGCGTACTAACATTTTCATTAATGCATCAGGCCACCCAACTGCAACCTCTCTATTTAAATGATATGCTCTAAAGTGGATAATGCATATTTTCCCACATATCTGTCACCTTCCTTTTTTTTTGCCCATTATAATCAATGTCCCTTTTCAGACTCCTTGTGTTCTCTTCACAACTTATGTTCCTAGTTGCCCTTGTCATCAGCAATTCTAACAATCTTGCATTAAGTTCCTTCCTCCAAGCCGTTGATATGAATAATAAATTGTTGAGGTGCCAATACAGATCGCTGCAGGCATTCCATGCATACAACTTGTCAAACTGACAATTTATGCCATTCCGGTTTCCTGTTAGCTAAGCGATCGTCTCTCCATGCTCATGTATTACTCCCAACACCATAGGCTCATATTTTGTATAGTAACCTTTGATATGCTCCCTTGTTGAATACCTATAGGAAATCCAAATGCATCAAATGCACAGGTTCTCCTTTATCTGTCTTGCTTGTTACTTCCTCAAAGAACTCAATAAATAAGTCAACCAAAATTTCCTTTCAGAAAACTATGTTTGCCTGATTTTACTGAGGTTTTCTAAGTGTGCAGCTTAATAAGAGATTCCTACATTAATGACAGATGCTAAGCTAATCGGCCTGAAGTTTCATGCTTTTTCCTTTCTTAAAGGGAGGATTAAAATTACTACTTTTCAGTCTGATGGGAACTTTCTTGAAGTTGAGAAATTACAGTAAACTAAAATCAATGCTTCGACTACCTCTGCATCCATTTAAGACCTTAGGGTAAAGTCTACTGCAACCTCGTCAGCTTTTAATTCTCGTAACGCTCACAGCACCCATTCCCTAGTAGTTGCTTTTAAGATTCCCCTAAACCCCTTTCACCTATTGATTAACAATTTAAGTTATTACTTGCATCCTACAGTGAAGACAAACACAAGATATCTGTTCACTTCATCCACCTTTCCTTATTTCCCATTAGGACTAACAATTCACTTACTGTTTTTCTTTTTAAATACCTCTAGGAACTCTTACAAGCTATTCTAAATTTCTAGCTTTCTTTTGTAAACTATTTCTCCTCCCTTATAATTATTTTTCAGTCATTCTTTGCTGATATATATCTATGTAAACTTCTGACTTGCCACTGATCTTTCAAATCGATAGGACCTATAACTTTCTTAGGCACAGATGGTGCCTCCTTCTCAGAGGATCTTTCGTTTTTCGCTGGAAAGCAATTTTGCCGAGTGTTCAAATATCTCCATAAATGTCTGCTCTTGATATGACCATGAACCTAATTCTTCCAGTTCACTTAAGCCAGGTAATGCTCCCTGCCAGGATCATCACCAAATCTGCAGAACAGCCTCCATCACACTGAGCTTAAGTTTCTCAATCCATAGACATGAACTGCGGATGTGCTGGCCTTGGATTACACTGATGGCCATCAGCTCCCATTATCTGCAGCTGCCACATATCACATGCCCTGTGTTTAATCAAATATTTTGTTAGCTCATGGGAGATGGGCAATGCCGGTTAGGCTAGCATTTATTAGCTATCTTTACCTAACTAACTTGAAGAAAGTGGTGGTGAGCTGTTGTCTTGACCTCTGCAGTCCTTGGAGCGTAGGGACAGCCACAGTGCTATTAGGGAGAAACTTTCAGGACCCAGTGAAGGAACAACAATCTATTTTTAAGTCAGAACAGTGGGTGGCTTGGAAGGGAACTTGCAGGTGATGGTGTTCTATGGTATTTGTTGCTCAGCTTTTTTAGTAGCAGAGTCGTGACTTTGAAAGACGCTTTTGCAGGACCCTTGATGAGTTACTGCAGTGCATCTCGTAAATGGTACACACTGCTGCCACCGCACCTCAGTGATGAATGCTGAATGTGAATGGGTTACCAAACAAAATCGTTGTGTTGTCCCCGATGGTGCCAAATGTCCTCAGTGATCCTGGGGTTGCACCCATCCAGACAAGTGAGGAGCATTCCATCACACACTTGACTTGTCTTGTAGATAGTGGACAGGGAGTGGGGAGTCGGAAGGGAAATTACATTCCTCAGAATTCCCAGCCTCTGACCTGCTGCAATTTATATGGCTAGTTCAGTTTCTGGTCAATGACAGCACCACCCCCAAGGATATTCATTATGGGAAGGTTTAGCTATTGCAATGCCATGTCTCTGATCTGCTTTGTGCATACGGGATAATTTTAATAAAGGTCCTGCTTCACCAGACTGAATTTCCCTAGTAAAGATAAATGGGGGGGGAGAAAAGACACACACCCAGTTCCCTGAGAAGTCACACCTCCATACCTCTGGGATCATGTTGTCTGCAAATTTTTGCTTAGCCCAAAACAAATGCACAAGATCTGTATGAAACATTACCTGGTTTAATAATAGCATTTTCAGACACCCTGAAAATTGAGATTTTCTGTTTTGGGGGTATCCCTGCTAGCCTGTACTTTTCCATAACAGACTCTGATTTCTGCAAAGAAAATAAAAATCTCTTAAATAGATGCACAATTTAACGACAGCCTATATTTATATGGCAGCTTTAAAGAAAATAACCCAAGAAACGTCAGAGGAGTGAGGACATAACTTTTACATTGGGCCAGAGAAGGAAATATTACAGCCAATGACAATGGTTTACTCGAAGAAGTAGATTTTAACTGAGCACCTTAATGGAGGAAAACAAGCAAGAGATTTGGTAAGGTTTAGGAAGGGAATTGCAGCTGAAGGTAGCTAAAGACACAGCCAATGGTGGAGCAATTAAAAGTGGGGCATGCAAGAGGCCAGGGATACATGACTGCAGAGCTGAGAGGATTGAGGGAATTGGTGGAGATTAGAGGTGGGGAGGCCTCAAAATTCAAAAGCAAATCGCTGGAAAAATTCAGGTCTGGCAGCATCTTTGGAGGGAAAGAAGAATTAACGTTTTGGGTCCAGTGACCCTTCTTCAGAACTGCTTACAGCCAGGAAAAGGTTGGTGATATAAGCTGAAGGTGGGATGGGGAGAGGTCTCAACAATAAGTGGAGATGGAACACAGACACACAGAGAAAAACAAGTGGGCAGACAATAGAATGAATAAAAGTTAGCCTGGAAGACTCAATAACTGCTGATAGGGACCATTAGTGGCTGACAATAGGTTGTTTATGGTCACAGCCCATGTGATGACAAGGCCTGGTGTGTGGGGGTTAGGGTAAAGGACATGATAGAAGATGCTCAGGCCCTAAAATTATTGAACTCAAATCTGAGTATGGAAGAGTACAGAATCCCCAAGAGGAAAATGAGATGCTGTTCTTCCGACTTGCGCTAAGCTTCCCTGGAGGACTGCAGCAAGACTAAGACATAGATGTTGGGAGCAAGGTGGTGTGTTGAAGTGGCAGGAAGCTCAGGGTCATTTTTGCTGATTGAACGTAGGTGTTCTGCAAAGTCGTCACCCAGTCTGTGTTTCATCTCTCTAAGGTAGAGGAGATCACATTGTGAGCAGCAAGTACAGTAGATCAGACTGAGTGAAGTGCATGTAAATCGCTGCTTCGCCTGGAAGGTGCGTCTGGGACCTTGGTTAGTGAGGAAGTGAGGAGGGAACTAAGGTGTTACACCTTCTGCAGGTGCAGGGGAAGATGTTGTGCAGGTGTGGGGAAGTGATGGGAGTAGAGGAGGAATGGACCAGGGTGTCCTGGAGGGAACGATCCTTGTAGAAGGTTGACAAAATAGGGGTGGGTACATGTGGCTGGTTGTGGCATCCCACTGGAGCTGGTGGAAATGGCAGCTAATGATACTTTTGATGTAGATGCTGGTGGGATGGTAAGTTTTTTTTACTCATTCATGGGATGAGGACATCGCTGGCTAGGCCAGCATTTATTGCCCATCCCTAATTGCCCAGAGGCAGTTAAGAGTCAACCGCATTGCTGTGGGTCAGAAGTCACATGCAGGCCAGACCAGGTAAGGACAGCAGTTTCCTTCCCTAAAGTACGTTAGTGAACCAGATGGGTTTTTCTGACAATCGACAACGGATTCACGGTCATCATTAGATTCTTAATTCCAGATATTTACTGAATTCAAATTCCACCAACTGCCGTGGTGGGATTCGAACCGGAGTCCCCAGAACGTTACCTGGGTCTCTGGATTAACAGTCCAGCGATAATACCACTAGGCCATCGCCTCCATCTTAAGTGAGGACAAGGGGAGGGCCCTATCGCTGTTGTGGAAGAGAAGTAAAGGGGTGAGGACAGAAGTGGAGGAGATAGGTCAGACATGACTGAGGGCCCTGACTACAATGGTGGTGGGGTCTTAAAATTCAAGGTGCATGAACTGGGAACAAACATTGGCCAGCCAACACAAGTGCAGTGTGTGACTATGACCAGGTGAATTATATCGCAGTAGAATTTTGTACGAGCATATAGCTTGAGGGTGGAAGATGCAGTCAGTCAGGGGTGTATTGGAAGAGTCAAGTACAGAGTTAAAATGATCAAGGAGGGTGTCAGGAGAACAGACAGAGAGAGCACGTGCGAAAGTGAGAGACACAGAAAGGTGGGGAGGGAAGAAAGAGAGGAGAGAGAAAGAAAGAGTGTTTGCAAGAGAGAGAGCGAGCGAGAGCAAGAGAAAACAAGAACACAATGGATGTATCTGGTGGAAGCTCATCTTAGGCTCAAATACCACATTTCCTGAAGGAAATAATGGCTTGTAAATAAGGCATCTGTTTTCCTGCACTTAACCAGTTCACTGGCTGACTGCAAGTCCATTACAATTTTAGACATTATAAAAACAAATTCTTCAGTGTTATTTTGTTCATTAATAAACATGCTATAATTTATATGAACTTGCATCATTCTTGCTGCACTGAAGTCCACGGTACAGTATGTAACAGAAGACCTTTCTCACTGAAATAATTTAGCAGGAATTTAGTCCAATTCAATCGGAATGGTTTCAGTATCATGCCCAAAGCCTCTACATCAAAAGTATCATTAGCTGCCATTTCCACCAGCTCCAGTGGGATGCCACAACCAGCCACACATACCCAGCCCTATTTTGTCAACCTTCTACAAGGATCGTTCCCTCCGGGACACCCTGGTCCACTCCTCCTCTACTCCCATCACTTCCCCAGGCTATACATCTTGTTATGGTCACAGATCAGATCATTAATTATGTTCCTATCTAGTTTAGGGGCCAGGCAAAGTTTGGAATCTCAGGTACTTACGAACAAAATAAACCCACAAGATTCCACGGCTTTGAAAACAAAAAATAAACTTTACAAAGTAACAGAAGTACAACAGTCTGCAGTACATACTCCTTTACTCAAACAGCCAGAATTAACATTAACATTCCTACCTGCAGCTAAACAATGCATTCATGAATAATGATTACTGAGGTAAGAGAATGCTGCTAACAACCATGGAACTATATCAAGCTGTGATGAAAGCACTTTTCATCCTGTGTTAAAGAGGAATATTTTCTAGATTTCAAATGGAGGCTGTCTTTCCTTACTAAACTTCAAAATGGCAAAAGGGATCTGATTGATTGATCTGCTAATTGCTCAGGTAAGGAAGCTCTGTTGAGAAGTTCAAAATGTACATTAAGTGTTTGACAGATAATCAACCCAGATGGTGCGTGTGTGAAGTTCCTCATTAATATGCCATACACCAACTGTCGTACAACATCTGAATTTTGAGTAAATGCTAGGAATTGCATAGAATTGTGGGCCTTTCCTGCAATTTTTAGTTTAATCGGAGTGACATTTGAGCTCTGTGTGCTAAATAGCCTTTTCCACATACAGACTTTGCATTTACAAATAACTAGATTATCGCCAAAATATTTCAAGTTGCTGGACTCTGAGAAGCACCTTCTGAGCAGGATGCTATTACTGTCTTGTAATGTTACTTTGAAACGATTTATTTCAACTTTTGCTTTAAATCATAACTTCCTGTGTATAACTGCTGCTGTGCATTGACTTAAATATGCAAAATGACATAAATAGGTGAATTTGCATTAAGAAGAGACACCAGAATGTGATGAGCACTGCACACGATGTCTGCTTGCAACATACCATAGTTAAGGGAAGAATCATTCAATTTGTTGCATGGAGTTGCAATGGTCTTACACTGTAGGATTCACAAGGATATAGTCTGCTTATGAAAACTATACCTCTTCCAGGGCAAGAGGATTATAAAATATTGGAAAAAAGTTTTTACTATTATTTTTGGCATTGGGAAGTGCAAGGGAGAAGTAAGAGAGTAAAATGCAGGAAAATAAGCAGAAATCATTAGCGGTGCACGGTCATGCATTCCCACCTCATTGAGCTACAGGAGGTCTCAGTGGAAACAGAGGTGATGAGAACCTCCATGCGTATTCCCACACCAATAGTTGTATAATGAGTCGTGCAATGTTCAATCTGTTTCAAAAAATTTCTTTGTACTTTGAACTAAAAAAAATTTAAGTAGCGATTTTCAAGTCCTCAATGCCCCAAAATGCTTTACAGCCAATAAATTTTGTTTCACTCATTCATGGGATATGGGCGTCGCTGGCTGGGCCAGCATTTATTGCTCATCCTGAGTTGTCTTTGAGAAGGTGGTGGGGAGCTGCCTTCTTGAACCGGTGCAATCCATGTGCTGTAGGTAGATCCACAATGCCCTTAGGGAGGGAATTCTAGATTTTGAGCCAGATCTAGGTGGTCCATCCAGTTCCATTCCTTTTTTCTTTTCTAGCAGTTAATGCACCAAATGGCTCAACAGGCCATTTCAGAGTGCAGTGAAGAATCATCCACATTGCTGTGGGTCTGGAGTCACATGTAGTGCAGACCAGATAAGGACAGTATTTCCTTCCTTAAAGATGAACACTAGTAAAGCAAATAGGTCTTTGTAACAAGCAACAATTTCATGGTCATCATTCAACTGGATTCCAGAATTTTTTTTTGGAATTCAATTTCCAACATCTGCCATGGTGGGCAGCACCTTGGAAACTCAGCAGTGAGTTCCTAAGAGTGGGATAATATCCCAGTAATCTGTTTCAGTGATGCTGACTGAGGAATAAACACTGGATAAGGATGCTATAGAAAGTATATTATTAAATTGGAAAGGGTGCAAAAAAAGATGGGACTGGTAGGTTTGAGTTAGGAGGAGAGGCTGAGACTTTTATCCCCTGGAGCATAGGAGATTGTGGGATATATAAAGCTGTATAAAGTCATGACAGACATACATAAAAGTAAACAGCAAAAGGTCTTTTCCCTAGGTTCGGGGAATCCAAAACTAGAGGGTATAATTTTAAGGTGAGGGGAAAAGATTTAAAAAGAGACCTGAGGGGCAATCTTTTCACACAGAGGTGGTGCTTGTGTGGAATGAACTGCCAGAGGAAGTAGTAAATACAAGTATAGTTACAACTGTTAAAAGACATTTGAACAGGTTTATGAATAGGAAAGGTTTAAGTCAGCAAATGCAGGCAAATGGGACTAGTTAAGTTTGGGAAACCTGGTCAGTATGGACGAGTTGCCT